CAATAGTTGCTAACAGATCCCGATCTCTGTGGAGTAGCAGTCCCTGATTTGGCTTCTGTAATTTCATCATCAATGCTATGGAAATCCAGTAAGTAAGTTCTACTATCCACTTGGTATAACTGAAGACTCATTTTGGAGAATGTGCTTGTCACAGGATTCTTCGTACATGCAAAAAATACGGGTTTAGAACCTTCCATTCATAATCCAATTGTTTAATTGCTCTACATACTTCTGCCATGATATCATTTGGTCGACTTTGACTTCTAATTCCCAAATGCCATTTTGCTTTCCTTACACCTTGGTGTTTGGATTTCTGTGGATTTAATTCATCCAGAGTATGGCGTGCCCGTGGTGTTTCAGCAACCAAAAATGGTACTCTTTCAGGATGGGGTCGAGTCAAATGGTGATCATCAAGAAAAGAATCAGGCGGGCTTGTTGCCAAGTAGAAATCTTTGGCTTCATTCATTATTCTTCTGTTATCTATTATGAGGTGGTAGGCAACTGCCAAAGGGTCCTGGTGATTTCTATTATAAAGGCAGCTGAGAACCTCCTCTTCTGAGCATTCAAACTTTTCACATACTTCTTTTAAGGCTTCATCATCAATCATCGTTGAACTATATGATGGATCCTCAGGAAAGAGATATTTTGGAAGGTCCTGTTTAAACCATTCATGTTCTCTGATATCCTTGATTGTGGCCCTCTTCATGGGATCCACCTGCAGCATATGTTTCAAAAGGCTAATCACAGATGGATTTAAATACTGAGGGGTATAAAAGATCCCGTCACATATCTTCTTAAAAAGCGTTGGCACGTGATCTTCATCAAATGGAAGTGTTCCACATAACAAAGCATACAGAATAACCCCACTGCTCCATATATCTACCTCTGGGCCTGCATACAATCTTCCTGAAATTACTTCTGGTGCAGCATAGTTGGGTGAGCCACAACTTGTTCTTAAAAATTCACCATCTGACATCATGTTTGAAAGACCAAAATCAGCTATCTTTGCATTCATGTGTGCATCAAGCAGGACATTTTCAGGTTTCAAATTTCTATTGACCACCATATGCCTGTGACAATAATCCACACCAGAAAGGATTTGTTGGAACAGACGTCGATTTTCTTTTTTGGATATCCAGCCTTCCATTTTTACAGATATAATCAAATAGCTCTCCTCCTGAGACATATTCCATCACCATGAAAATATCAGATGGGGTACTGATGACCTGGTATAGTTTAATTATATGAGGATGCCTGAAAAGCTTGAGATTCTGAATTTCTTGGTGGATTTTTCCTTTCACATCAAGACTTCGAATCTTCTGTTGATTGAGTATCTTCACAGCAACTTTATGCCCAGTCAACTCATGTTTGCCAACCTTCACTTTGCCGAAGGTGCCGACCCCCAGCGCATCCCCCAGGAGGCAGTGGCCGATCTTCACCCGCCTGTCGTGCTTCTGCTTCTCGGCTGTCGCCATCTTTCTCCAGGAACTGAGTCTGCGCATGGCCGACCTTTTCTTTTGTAAGGTCTCTAAGTTTTAGCCACAGCTCTGGGATTCAGTGGTCGACTGTGGTAGTCCAGTGACATAACCATTATGCCATCTGCTTGTCCCCAGAAGTTCCATTTTTTAACATTGCAGGTTTTAGATGCCATAATCTCTTAAATACTAGGGCCTCATGGTACCTTGGTGCTTCAGCCCAGCGCTCGAGCTGAGGAACCACTCCTTGCAGCCTAGCGCGCCTCTTAGTACCCTGGCTGGGCCCCGCTCAGGGTCATTCAAATGTTGCCAACTGCCTGACCAGAGGTGATTAGCTCTCCCATGGGCATGGGTGCCTCGCGTGCTCCCGCCAATGCTGGCTCCCACCAAGAAATTTTAAACATCTTCTCCACTGGTCTTTGCACCAAGTGCTGAGATGTAGTTGAAAGAATGCTCTGTTTTTACAGACTCCTGCAGTTCAGTAATTTGTTCAAAGTGACCCTGCAAGTATGTGAGTGCACTGGAACTTGAATGACTTCTTCTAATTAAATGCATAATGAATTAGGAAATTAGAAGATGCATTTAAAAATACCTATTAATGCCTATTTAATGACTGCAATAAACTATATAACCCCAGTGAGGTACTATTTTATAGTATATTCATTTTACTCACTGAGGTTTACCCCTAAAATCAGATATGCGTTCATAAATACATATATATCAGCTGTGCTTGCTATTGAAAGTCTTTCAATTAATTAAGATCTTTAGTGAATCAATAAAATGTGAAAAAGAAATTGTCATTTTTCATTGTGATTCATCGAAAACATCGTAAGTAATGTAAGTTGTTTCTCTGGTGATTCTGGTTTATTTGTCTCATGCCTTCTAATACGTATTTTAAAAGTTTGTGTATTGGGGGCCAGCAGGTGATGTGGTGGTTAAAGGCACTAGACTCCCACATGGCCGACTGCAGTTCAAGTCTCGAAACTGGTTGCTTGCTTTCTCACTCCCTACCTCCCTGTCTCTCTCTGATCAGATTGGAAAATAATAATGAAAATAAATAAAGTTGAATAAAATAGTTCTTAAAAAAGTTTATCTATTACTTATTAAAGTCTGTTGCTTCCATGAATGAGAGAGCGAGACAAGCACCTCAACAGAGCCATATGTCATGATTTTCCCCAAGCCCTGCCTTCCTAACCAGCCAGGATTAGGGGCACACATGTACACTTCAGGTGTGTCCAGGTTGACCTGGGAACTGAACCTTGATCTTTCATACAGAATTCCAATATTGCAGTGCTATGCCACTGCTGTGCCACCATGTCAGGCTTTCTAAACAGCAAACTGTGAGTACTATGACCTGGAATATTTAGTCCTAGGTATATGTCCTGTGACATCACACAGAATATTACAAAGGTGCTCAAGGTTTGAAATCTAATAAAATAGATTTTTATTGCTTTATACAGAACATCCTAAGTGAGGGCTAGCATTTTCCCCCCTTTGCTGTTAAGGACCTGAAGGTGAAGAAATACAATGATTACTAATACTGTTTGGTTGCCACAATCTTGATTCATACTAAAGCCCCAGAGGTTTTAATATTCCTTTTGAACCAAGAGTTCAAGCGTTCAACACAGTTGTTCCAGAAACAATTCAGAAAAGTTATTCAGTGCTTTGAGTATTTCAGCATCATGTATCTTCATTGGCAAATATCACAGAAAGGGAAATACTGTCTATAGTTGGAGCTGATACTAGATCAATACAAGCAAAACAGGAAGTCCAGCCACATTCTTTCTTGCCTCTTTTGAGCTTCTGGTGGCTGCTGGCAATCCTTGGTGTTCCTTGGCTTGTGGGAGTATAAAACCAATCTCTGTTTCCATCTTCACATGGCTGTTTTAACTCTGCATGTCTGTCTGTTTCTGTTTTATGTAAAGGGACATCCAAAAGTTCATGGAAAAATTGAATTTAAAGATAAAAAATTTAAAAAAATATAGATCTCCTTCTCAACATAAGTTCCATCAACCCAAGACACTCTGTAACAATGAAACCTGCCATTAAGTCCTTCCCTAAAGCACCAGGGCCCTGGGAGCCTAACCAAGTCAATATAGTTTTTTATTTAAAAAAAAATTTTTTTTTTTGGAGAGGTTTTTACTATAGGGCACATGTGTTCACCAGACAGAGAGAGAGAGACAGAGAGACAGAAAGCAAGGAATCACCCCCCGGGAGAATGGCCATGCCACAATCCCTTCTCCATTCTCCTCTCGGGATCTAGGGCACGCACGCACACACACCCAGCATGAGTTTAAGCCACCAGGTCCAGAACTTGAACCGTGGTCAACTACATGGGAGTCCAGTGACATAGCCATTATGCTAAACTGCTGGTCCCTTTTTTAAAAAACAGTATTAACTGAAGACATGTGTGCCCTGTAAAGATTTTATAAGATTAAGAAATAGAAGTCAGAAGAAACCAGATCAACACTGTAAGGTGGATGTCTAATGGTTTCCTATTGAAACTCTCAAAAATTGGCGTTGCTTGGTGAGATGAATGAGCAAGAGCATTGTTGTGGTAAAGTCTGTGTATTTCCTGGGTATTTTTTCTGCTGAAGTTCAGTTAACTTTCTCAAAACACTCTCATAGTAAGGAGATGTTATTTTTTTATTAAAAAAATTTTTTTTTTACATTTTTATACTTTATTATGAAATTGAGTTTTCATTAATGCATTGGAATTTAATTGTTAACTAGGCACCAAACAGTGGCTTACAATGCATGACTTTTGAAAATAAAATGACATAGTTTACCAAAACCTATTGTGCATATTAAAAATTATTCATGTATCTTTCTATCAAATTGAGTAATTTTCTGTTAAGTAAAAATACTGTCAATTATTCCACTGTTGAGATAATGGTTATCATCTAGAGTTCAATTTCTGCAACTACTAGTCTTACAAATTCAAAATTGCTACTAAAACTCATATTGTAAAAATTGCAATGGGGGAAATCCTATTTTAAAGTATGATGACAACATCAAATGACAAGAAGAATGTATACAAAGACCATATAAAAATATTTATGGCCACATAAATATGAAAAATAGTCTTAATAGTTTGTGTCTCCAAATGGTTTCTACATTCCTGTAATTTTTTATAAAATTTCAAGAGAACATGTAAATAACAAAATACACAGAAATATTATGTCGAGTAAACAGTCGGAACTAGAGCTTATTATAATCCATCTGGATTATGAGGGAAACAATTTATTCAAAACCTCCATTTTCTAGACATGAAGATAGGTTTCTTTCTTTTAAATGTGGATATAACAATTATCACATCAACGTTCTATTACATCAAAATAACAAAGTGTTAACATTTTACTTAAGAGAATTTGGCATCATAAGCTTTAGAAGAAATACAATAAATAGTTTTAAGCAAATGAATCTATCCTCATGCCAAATAAAGCCTTCTTAATACTCGAGTGCCAACATTTCAAATGTAGAACAGTCATCAGAAAACTTGGAATGTGAAACACTGAATTAAATTTATATGTCATCAATATCTCCATCATCATCTCCAATATCATCACACTGGGTTTCATCATCTCCAGGACCAAATGTATCCATTTCATTGATCTTAGCAAGTTCTGGAAGCTTGTCTTCTGCCTTCAGACTTCTAGCCTCATCTGCATTGGACTTGAAAATTCCATCTGCTTTGTTATCCTGAAATTCTCGCAGACCAACCAATATAATGTCCCAAGTATTTACCCAAACCTTTTTTCTCAGTTTTCCTCTGATAGGACATAGCCTCTTTACACTAGCAAAGCCCAGTGCCTCTAATCGCCCAGTTCCCAACATCTGGATTACCTGAGCATTCTCTTGTCCGTCTTCTTTAAACACCACTCTTTTTACAGCTTCATTCTCATTCTTACCCCTGCGCCTGTTTTTACCTCCTTTACCTTCATTCTTGGGCATGGCGGCGGCGACAACCTCTCAGAGCCTTCGACTTCTTACGGGTGGAGGCGGCTGATTGCTTTCTGGTGGCAGAACATAGACGTATTATGTTGTGTAAGCACAACCGTTTTTCTGCTAAGAAATGTGATAGTACACGTGTCTGCTCTTCGGAATTGGAGATGTTATTTTTCCTTAGCCTTCCAGAAAGTCAATAAAACAAAATGCCTTGAATATCCCAAAAAACTGTTCCCTTGATCTTTGCCTGTGACAGATCTACTTTTGCGTTGACTGAACCACCTTTCTATTTTTTTTTAAAAAAATCTATTCTTTTTATTATTATTTATTTAATTCTATTTGCTATTATTGTTTTTAAATTTTCCTGTAGGACATGTGTGCTCGCCAGGGAGAGACAAAGAGAGAGAGAGAAAGGAAAAGTGAGAAAGCAGGCTGCCAGGTCCAGGACTTGAACCATGGTCAGTCATGTGGGAGTCCAGTGGCCTCATCACCATGCCACCTGCTGGCCCTGACTGGACTACATGTACCTCTTGGTAGCCACTGTTTTGATTGTGCTTTGTTTTCAGGATTATACTGGTAAAGCCACCTGTCATCTCCTGTTACAGTTCTTTGAAGAACAGGTTCCAGATCTTGGTCCCACTTGTTTGAAATTTCCTGGAAAGCTCTGCTCTTGGGCCATTTCTGTGGTGAATGCACTGCTCAGGAGAAGCTGCATCCATCATAAAGAAAGAAAAAAAAAAGAAAAAGAAAAGAAAAGAAAAGAAAGATCTACTTTTGTCTGCAGCTGCTTTGTGTGCAACAATTCGGGCAATTATCAGACAGTAAGTTTGCTCAACTTTAATTTTTCTGTCAGAAATGCATAAGCTGAACCAGTTGAAAGGTCAATGGTGTTGGCTTTTATTTCTGTTATTACTCATCATTCTTCTTCAATTAGGACATGAACAAGATTAGTTTGTTCCTGGGGCAGAGAGGTGGCATGGTGGTGAAGGGTGCTGGTTTTCCTTATGGTTTGAGTTCCAGACCTGGCAGCTTGCTTTCTCACTTTCCCTCTCTCTCTCTCTCTTACTCTGTCCCTCTCTGGTCAAAATTAAACAAACAAACAAACAAATAAAGTTAAATAAAATAATAATAATTATTATTTTTAAATTTTTTTATTTTGAGAGTTTTTTGCTATAGGGCGCATGCGCTCACCAGAAAGACAGAGAGAGACAGAGATAGAAAGTGAGAAATCACCCCCCAGGGGGTATGGCCACGCCACAATCCCTTCTCCTCCATTCTCCTCTCGGGATCTTGGGCAGGCACGCACACGCTCCCAGTGTGAGTTTTAAGCCACCAGGTCCGGGACACGAACTGCGGTCGACTACATGGGAGTCCAGCAACATATCCATTACATTAACTGCTCGTTCCAAATAAAATAATTCTTAAAAAAATAGATTAGTTTGTTCCTCATGAATTGATGTAGATGGCCTGTGGCAATGTGTCATCTTCAACATTTTCTAGTTTCTTCTTTTTTTTCTTTTTTGCCATAGGGCACACTCGCCAGAGACAGAGAGAGAGAGAGAGAGAGGAAGTGAGAGATCAACCCCCAGGGGGGATGGTCATGCCACAATACCTTCTCCTCCATTCTTCTCTAGGGATCTTGGGCACGCACTCACACGCACCTGGTGTAAGTTTAAGCCACCGGGTCCAGGACTCGAACTGCGACCAACTACATGGGAGTCCAGCGACATAGCCATTACGCCAACTGCTGGTCCCGTCATGACATTAAAAAAAAAGTTTCTCTATGCAAAAATGGGTGATGACTTTCCCGACAAGCCAGTAAGTAAAAGGTGATTGAGAAGTCCTATGCAATGTTATTTGCAAACTGGAGAACCAAGGAAATTGATAGTGAGGCTCAGTCCAAGTTGAAGGCCTGAGAACCAAGGAAGCTGATAGTCCAAGTCCAAAGGGCTCTGCATCAGAGACACCACAGCCTAAGAAACAGGGTAGGTAGGGGAGGTGCTGCGGGTGTAAGTGCTGGAGTCCAAAGGCAGCAGAATCTGGAGTTCTGATGTCCTAGGGCAGGAGAGTGAGAGAATTTACCTTTCCTCTACCTTTTTGTTCTACCTGGGCCCTCAGCTGACTGGATGGTGCTTGCCTACTTTGGGTGAGGGCAGATCTTTCTTATTCAGTCTACTTATTCAAACGCTAATCTCCTCTGGAAACCCCTTCACAGACATATCCATGAATGATTTACCAGCAACCTGGGTATGTCTTAATCCAGTCAAGTTGACACCAGAAATTAACCACCGCAATACTGTTTCTAATATTTTTGTTTGTTCATAGTTTTTCCTAGTTTATTTGGAACGGATTACTCCTTTCCACAAATAGGAAAGCACTTTGGTATAGGTTTTATCTATTTTTGGCCAGTTATCTATTCTTAAATATAATAAATACTTTTGTTAATTTCAGTATAAAATAAAACGTGAATTATTTTAGATAAAATACATTTAGAAAAGTTCTCTAGAATTTTTAAATATTGCAAAGAAACACATCCAAATATATTTAGGTGTGTTGTTTCTACAGAGGTATAAGAAAAATTTCTGAGTTTCCAAATAGCAGTTTACTGAGTAATGACATTATTGAGGTCATAACGGAAGATAGTTTGCAGGAATCCTGTGGAAGGACAGAGAGCAAACTCTATTATTCAGATGTTCAAGTTGATCTTCTAACCCTACCTTAAATATTTCTAAAAAAATCCTCACATAATGTGCAAGTGTACATTCCATTAGTCAGCAGAACAATAACATTGTCACATGCCATAAAGCCTTTGGAAAACTCCATTGTTTGTGCTTAAGAAATGAAAGTTAAAAAAACAGTGTTACAGTGAAAAGGGACTCAGAGGCTCCTGAAAGTCTGGATTGTACTTAAAGAACAATTGTCAAAGATGATTGGAAGTGTCCGTGATTGATTCAAAACATGATGTTCTCTATAGCTCTAAGTCACCTCTCCAGACCTTGAGCTCACTGACTCAGATCAGTGATCATTTTTTGTTTTTATCCTTATTACAACTCCTTGTCATAAAACATGTAACAATGCTCAATGGTCTTTCAAAGAATATGAAGACTTCATTTCAGTAGAAAATATGGTGAAAAGATTTTTAAAGTTTTGGTGCCCTCTGGTGGCATAATACTGCAAGACAACTTATAAAAAAATCTTGCATTATTTTACTGATCTTAAACCCAGTTTGAATTTAGGGTATCACTTCTATATATTAATAAGACTTTTTTGGACCAACAGGTGGCGTGGAGGTTGAGGTGACTGGATTCCGTATGGCCAAATGTGTGGTTTGAATCCCAGACCCAGGGACTTGAAAAACATGCCAGGCATGAGTGTGTGCATGCCCAAAATACCAGGAGGAGAATGGGGAAGAGGGGATTATGGTGTGGCCATCCTCCCCAGAAGGGTGATTTCTCACTTTCCTTCTCTCTCTGGAGAGTGCACGCGCCCTGTAGAAAACTTGGGGGAAAAAAAGCTTTCATCTTGCAACCTGTACAGTTTTTGAATTAATTCTGATTGTAATTGAAACAGGATCTTTCTTACTGTACTCAAGGAAAGGAACCTGCGATCCTGGGAGCTTGGCTACTGCCCCATTGAATAGTTCTTTCGTGCTTTCAGATAGTTCTGTGGTTTTTAATAGTTCTTTAGTGTATCAGTTTTCTTCAGAACAACTTGAAATGATCTTAAGAAAAAATCATAATGACAAGTGCATATGACAGGAATTTGGTGAATTAAATTTTTCTTAGACTATAAATGATGAAAGCATTGTCTTTGTATTCAGATGGATTAAATCTGAACAACATTGTGGAGAGGGACCTGTTTCTATCTCTCAGCCCTGTCCATTTCTGTGTCATTGTTCTCAAGCAAGCTTTCTCTCCTGGACGCCCCTGGCAACTCCAAGCTTACCTCCTAAAAGCAGAATCTTGGGGCTAGCAGGTGGCATGGTGTTAAGGTGTTGGACTCCCACATGGCTGACCATGGTTCGAGTCTTGGACCTGGTGGCTTGCTTTCTCACTTTCCTTCACTCTCTTTGTCTCTATCCGGTGAGCACATGTGCCCTGTAGCAAATAAAAAAATAATAAAAATGAATAAAATAAATAATTTTTAAAAAGTAGAGTCCAGTGAAAATGAGAAACTCTGTCTTTCAGACAGTTTCATTACAACTCTTGGGTCTGACTTTTGGTATTGGAAACAAGCCAATCACACAGGCCTGGGGGCATGACATATGCTAATCACCAAATAAGCATCATATATCTTAGGTTGAGTTTTCCAAGTTCCCATCTAAACTACATGGATAAGAGGATTGGTGCTTCTCCCCGGTGTTAGTTTCTTACTGCTCCTGTAACAAAGTACTACAGCTTAAGTAGCTTAGAACAACATAAACTTTCTTCTTCTATTTTTCTTTTCTTCACTTTTTTTTTTTTAAATTTGTTATAGGGCATGAGAGAGTCCAAGAGAGAGAGAAAGGGAAAAAGCACCCCAAAATGGGATGTAGTCATGCTGCAGTCCCTTCTCCACATCACTATTCTGCCTGGGCAGGCACACCAACCTGGAATATTTTTCAAGTCACTGGGATAGAATGTCTACTAGGTGGTCAGCCGTGGGGCCTGTCTAAACACAGATTTATTAATCTTACCGTTTCAGAGGTTCATAGAAAATGTAAACAAGTGTGTGTGGATTGTTCCGATAAAATTTTATTCCTGACAACTCAGTCCTGCTGCAGAGCCCAGTTTCATAACTTCAGTGGAAACGGGTTACACTGGGCAGAAATCAGGGAGCCGGCAGGGTTGTGTTGCCTTGGGAGGCTCCAGGGGAGAATCTTTCCTTTTCCAGCTTCTCAAGGCCACCTGCATTTCTTGGCCTTTGGCCCTTTCCAGCCTTCGGAAACAGCAGTTGTGTCTCTTTACCTCTGCGACTGCCCTCACGTGTCCTCTTCTTACTCCCCTGCTTCCTCTTTCTCTTATTAA